AGCCCATTAGCCACATTTGTGTGGCTGCTCTCATGCTAATGCCTCCTAACAAAATTGTTTGAGAACAACTGCTGTGCTCCCTCTCATTATTGCAAACATATCTAAATATTCCCCAGAGCTTATTTTCTTAGGAACAAGTATTGGCAGGTCCTAAACTGGAGATGGGAATGTTTGATAGTTCTCAGGTGCAGCACCAGTCCTTGGCTGTGGTTTATGTGTCTCCTTGCTTATGCCAAGAGGTCTAAATATCTAAATATGCAAAAGCTGGACAGACCTGGGTATCTGCAGGGAAGCAACATGCAGAGAGGGCTCAGATTGCAATCTTTTGCAGGTTTATGATATAGTGTGTCCTGCTGGGGTGCCCATGAGGTGAGAAGGATTGAATTCACTCATATGAAGTAGGTATTACAGTGGCACTTTCCTCAAAAGTATCTCTGGAGATCCTGATATTACTTTCCTTCTCTTTTAATGAATAATGAAGTCTACTTCCCTCCAGTTCTATTGGGAAAACCAAACTGCATGTAACAGTCTATGTGATGCCATCTTAATGAAATTTTTCTACAATGTCCTGTATCTAAATCAGGATTATTTCCCTTTCTCATTTGCTCAACTAGAGGTGAAACTCCTATTCCTGCCTTTTAGGTAATCCTTCACCACATTTTTCCTTTGTCTGAGTACATCTGTTCGTTCTATCTGAACTATCTGCTTAGATTGCAGAGTAGCTCTTTTTAAAATTGCCAAATACACCTTAAATTTCCAAAATATTGTTCCTGCATGTATTTCTTTCACATAAAGAAGAATATGTGTTCCAAGGAGAAATTCGACATTATTAAAGTTATTTTATGTCTTTTCTGCAAAACCATTAAAAAAAAAAAAAGATCCAAGCTTCTCTCTGTGTCAAAAAATTTCTGAAACTTCAATTTATTTTAAGATAGTAGATTGTAACTGACGGAGATCAGAAACTGATATGCATATATTTAATGGTCCTTGTTGAGAATGGGAAAAGGGTAGCAACTGCTGGGAGAAAAGCCAGGCAGAAAATTGGAATAGTGACCATTTTAGCCACCTCCATTTCAGCCACCAATAAACGTGAATCAAAGCTCTGTGAAGCCACAATTGAGAGATGGGATATTTATAATTCCTCCAGCAGAGGTTACTGAAGTAAATGTGTTCAAAATAACAAGAAGAAGCAACAGCAGTTTTCCATTTTGCTGATATGTCACTTACAGTCTATGCTTTTCCACTGTCTATATGCTATGAAGTCTCTAGACAACTGTTAAATCTCATAGCCTCACAACAGTTGCTACCTTATTACGCTGTGCAGTCAAATCAATGGAAAGTTTTGGTCATTTATTTACAAACATACACAAGATAAAGGCTTAAAAAACATATATGTTTTACTTTAATTTTGATAATTTCTAAAGGTATATCTGTAATATCCACATCCACTCCAATTTATTTAATCCTTGTATCCTTATTTTATGTTACACAGTATTAACAAAGAGGACCTTGAAAGTCACAATTTGATTAGCTCTTCTCTAAATTATCTTCCCATTGAAGCATTACAGAACTCAGGTGCACTTTTCCTGCAATATTTTTTTTCTGGTATTTCATTCTTATGTGGTGGAGGTCGCAGTTTTTCCCTTCATTGCAGTTATTCATAGTTCCACATTCTATGAAACACAATTTTACAGCAAACTAAAATCTTTCATCTTATATACATTTTTGGTATTTACAAAACAGTCATTGTAGATAACACCATGAGAAAACCATGAGATGGGAATTGAATTACCGAAGACTACCTATTCATACAATCTGAATTTTTGGTTGCTAATGTGTACTTAAATACTGTATTCACATTATGTGTTATATCTGTTAATACAAAAGGGTTGAGCTGTAGTGTAGTCTTTGTGATTCTTAAATAACTACAAAAGGCAACGATAATATGCTTTTTTTCATAATTGGTTACAGATTAATGAAATATTCCTCAGAGCTCTGTTCTGTTCAGCATATTACCCTGTCTTCCACCAGATATCAGTATTGATTGAATCCTTCCTGGTTCTTTATGAACGACCTATGGCCTACCTCTCCCCTTGTTAAAACTCAGGTTATCACAAAGCGCTCTAGTTTTTATCATGAAAGTATTTCCTTATTTCAGTAATTACTGTAAAATGCACAAGGAATAATTAGGTGGGTTGTATTTAGGGTGGGAAGAGGATTCAGAATTGGCTTAAGGTAAACCTTTGTGCATACACAGTCTGTGAGATGTGTAAGAAAAATCCAAACAGTAATATAGTTTTAAATTGTACTACTATTAGAGAAAATACATAACAAGATAACATTCTCTGAGGAGAAAGAGCATAATTGCTAAACTGCTATGCTAGTCCTTGCACATCTTAAATTACCAGAGAAACAAAGATAATTTCCATAAATATCACCAGAAGTTTAGGAGATTGCTTTCTTTTACAAAGCTGCAGTTTTGTAACATCAGATATCAAATGACTATTTACTTGAAACTAAAATGCAACATGAAAAGTAGATAGCTTGATTTACTTAATAATTGGTACAAAAATTCATATAAAACAAGCAAACAAAAAGAAAACACCCCACACAAGGCAGTAGAGTAAGTTTGCCTCCCTTGTACTGAAATTCCAGGACGTCAAAATAAGCCAACTGTATGTTCATAAGTCTCCAGATATTAATAAATTGCTTATGTTTCTATAAAAAGTGCAATAGGAGGCTGTATGAGACACTATTTCACTAGACTTTAGCGTTTTAAGAGGTAAAACACATGGTCAAAGGAACTGGTTCTTAATCCATATTCAGAGCTGAAAGAAGAGTTTGTGTTACTTCCTCCTCTTCAAAATCAGTTTAAACTGTCAAAATAGCTTTAAATCGGAAGATTTCAACTTTGACCCCAAGAAAACCCTCTAAAGAATCAGACTGAGTTGTTGCTGTAACATTTATGTCAAAAGGAAATTTTTAATTTGCAAGGAAAAACAAAAGTTTCTCTCTTCAGAGGTCTCTCCAGCAGCAGCACACGGGATTTATCGCCTCTCCTTTAACTCAAACCTCGTGTTTGCCGCTGGAAACTCTCCCGAACGCAAGTACCTGCTCTTCTCCTCCCTCACCGGGGAAATGGGGCGATTTGGTGGCAGAAATTCCGAGGAAAATACACTTTTGTTAGTCCAAAGAAACACAAATCGAGCACACCGAAGGGCTCCCCGGCCGTGCAGCAGGGCGGGCTCTGCAACGCACCAATCACCGCGCGGCTCGGCTCTAAAAATACGAGCATCTGACCCGCGCCAGCCCAATTGTGTTCGCCTGCTCCGCAGAGGACGCCGCCGCGATGTCCGAGACCGCTCCCGCCGCCGCCCCCGATGCGCCCGCGCCCGGCGCCAAGGCCGCCGCCAAGAAGCCGAAGAAAGCGGCGGGCGGTTCCAAAGCCCGCAAGCCCGCGGGGCCCAGCGTCACCGAGCTCATCACCAAGGCCGTGTCCGCCTCCAAAGAGCGCAAGGGGCTCTCCCTCGCCGCGCTCAAGAAGGCGCTGGCTGCCGGCGGCTACGATGTGGAGAAGAACAACAGCCGCATCAAGCTGGGGCTCAAGAGCCTCGTCAGCAAAGGCACCCTGGTGCAGACCAAGGGCACCGGTGCCTCCGGCTCTTTCCGTCTCAACAAGAAGCCTGGAGAAGTGAAGGAAAAAGCTCCCAAGAAAAGGGTGCCCGCAGCCAAGCCCAAGAAGCCGGCGGCCAAGAAGCCAGCCAGCGCCGCCAAGAAGCCCAAGAAAGCAGCGGCAGTGAAGAAGAGCCCTAAGAAGGCTAAAAAGCCGGCGGCTGCGGCGGCCAAGAAAGCGGCCAAGAGCCCCAAGAAAGCCGCAAAGCCAGGCCGCCCCAAGAAGGCAGCGAAGAGCCCGGCCAAGGCAAAAACGGTGAAGCCCAAAGCAGCCAAGCCTAAGGCAGCCAAGCCCAAAGCAGCCAAGGCGAAGAAGGCAGCGCCGAAAAAGAAGTAAATTATAATACCAGAAGAGTCCTGCTCTACATATTTTGTTATCCAACGGCTCTTTTAAGAGCCACCCACACTTTCCCTAAAGGAGCTGAGGCACCGAGGTCGTCCATAACCTGCAGCAGGGATCCAGTAATTCGTAAGTCGTCAAGAGGTCAATTGTGTCTTTTTTTTTTTTTTTTTCTCCCTAGGATTACCGAAAGAAATGCTAACGAGCACGGTATAACGCGGCGGCTTTAGGAAAGTGTAGACTTTTTTTTTTCTCCGAGTAATTAGTTTGACTACCAGGAAGCAATGTTAAGCAATGTTTTGTAATGATTTGATAAAAAAAAGGATGTATGTTTTTTTAAAAGATGTATTTTGTAACAAAATAATGCAATTGCCAGGCACGCTACTACTGAGCCATGTCTAATCTATTGTGTTATTTCTCTTAAGGTGTCTCCTTAAATGCTTTTGTTTATCTGGGGGAGGAGGGGAGGGTTTCTTTATTGACACGAAAATAGCCCTGAGCTCTCCCAGTCCTTTTGTTCCCGCTGAGAAAGAAAGCTTGAAGTATTGAAAAAGCCCGCTCTGACCAAGGATTGGCCAGCGGAGAGCCCGGCCCGCTGGCCCCCCCTTCCCCCTCCCTCCCCGAACATTACGCCTCTTATCTCTTGAACTGTATCAGCCACTCTCGGAGAAGAAAAAGGCGGAAGAGGGGGGAGGGATGGGAACTCTCAACGAATAGTGTTCCCATGTTCTCCGACATAGCAACTAAACGGAAAATATCCCATACCAGGAAGAATTTGCATGGGGAGGACCTTTTGGCACGCCTTTGTTAACGAAAACCTGGAAAGCGTTGCTACTATCACCAAGCCAAAAATGCTGTTAATAAATATGGAAAAAGACAAAACACGGGTTGAGTGATTAATATAAATTGGCATAACTGTGGTACGGATAACTGAGCTCTCTTATGATTTTGTGGGTGGCTCTGAAAAGAGCCTTTGGATTATTTTCTCTGGAGGAGACAACGTGCCGCTTTTCCTTTTTTCTTTACTTGGTTTTGGCCTTGTGGCTGTCGGTCTTCTTGGGCAGCAGCACGGCCTGGATGTTGGGCAGCACGCCGCCCTGCGCGATCGTCACCTTGCCCAGCAGCTTGTTGAGCTCCTCGTCGTTGCGGATGGCGAGCTGCAGGTGGCGGGGGATGATGCGCGTCTTCTTGTTGTCGCGGGCCGCGTTGCCCGCCAGCTCCAGGATCTCGGCCGTCAGGTACTCGAGCACGGCCGCCATGTACACCGGAGCTCCAGCCCCCACCCGCTCGGCGTAGTTACCTTTCCGGAGCAACCGGTGGACACGACCGACGGGAAACTGAAGCCCAGCCCGCGACG